GAGAGAGAGAGAGAGAGAGAGAATTTGTTGCTGTTTACTATTGGTTTTGTCCACTGGAGTCTGGAATGTAAGGGACATTGTGTATTTTTTTACTGCTATTTCCCAGGGCATAAAATAGTACCTGGCATACAATAGGTATGCTATAAATATTTGATATACCTTAGGAAATGACTAACAAACAAATAAATTATTTCAGATAATAAAGAAAACAAAACGTGGTGGTTTTTGTTAAAGGGTGACACAGTGAGAATAGGGACAATCTGAATGCATGGTCAGGAGAGGTCTGAGAAGACGGACAGCACATGAGCCAAGACGAAAACATTCCAGAAACAGAGCCCGATGCAGAGGCCCGCAAGTGGAACAGGTGTGGCTCACATGGGGACAGAGGCCAGCGCGGCTGGTGCAGGGTGAACAGTGAGAGCCAAAGGAGGCGGGAGCGGGCCAGGCGGGAGCGGGCCAGGCAGGAGCGGGCCAGGCAGGAGCGGGCCAGGCAGGAGCGGGCCAGGCAGGAGCGGGCAGGAGTCTGAACTGCAGAAAGCGCGTCGCCATGAATCTGCAGTCTGAGTGCAGCGTAGAATACTGAGTTCCAGAGCTAGAAAATACCTTTAGAATTACATACCCAAAATTCTCTTTTCAGAGATGAAAGGACAGAGGTAGAGAGGGAAAGACCACACATCCACCGTCCCTGAGTAAGGGGCTCGAAATATTTAACCTAAGACGCCACCACACGAAATAAGATGTCCCATTAACCTTTGCATTCCTGGGGTATCCATCAGTTTCTCGCACATTGTCAGTGCTCAGTAAATGCTGGCAAATTCAACAACTGAATGAATGACCGAACAACCAAAAATAAAGGGAGGAACAGAATAAAATACCTGTACCCTAGGAGTCTAAAAAATAACTTTGTAAAAGGGCACTGAACACAAAGTATTTTAATGTTCAAGTGGCAAAGAACAATTCCTCTTAAGTTTGGGCTGACTTGAAAAAATAAAAACATGCCTCCCTGAGAGCTGCTGTGGCAGGGAAAGACGTGTGACAGTGATGTCAGCGGAGGCTTCAACAGATCCTCTGTGAGGTGGCATACGACAAGTGCACTTTCCATTAACATTTTCCATCTTCATATCCAAGGAAGGGACTGAGTTTCACTATATGCTCATGAGCAGCCATAATGAGGTGGATGGTTCTATTACACGTGTATAGAACCTTAGGGACCACAGGAGGAGGACATGAGTTCTGGACACTGGGCAGGGCTGCCCATCCCTGGACCCACCCAGGTAAGCCCACCACAATCAAGGCAAACTCAGCTCCTGGGAAACTGAACCCGGGGACCACACATGCTTGAACTCATGCAAAACATGATCCGATGCATCTGGAATTGCTAACATGTGTCGGGAAGGCATCTATCAGCACATCAGCACCAAACCCTCCAGTCCCAATGACAGATCTGGGTGTGAGAAATCCCACCACTTGTTCCTTTGTTCAACTCCCTTTTACAGTGGAAAGCAGCCCTATTTGACTAGGGTGGCCAATACGGCCTCAGTTCTTTCCACCTGTTTCTGCCCCAGGGTCTCTGCACACAGGCCCAGAGGAAAGGCCCAGACGGCCACCATCACTCCAGCAGCTGACATCCCAGGATGTCATCAGCAGCACACTTATGATGCACAACATGTCTGCAAAACCCCACAAGCTGTGGCAGTGGAGACTTCATTAATTATGCAAATGATTCTTGGTATGTCAGGTGATTGCATCTTGTCTATAATGAGTACTTAAAACTAACAAGAAAAACAAGGATTTTGAAAATTAAAATGCTACAGAAGATATCCCTCTGCCCTAGTAATTTATTAATTAGAAAGGATGAGCTTGTTAAAAAGGAAGAGCATGATTTTGAGATAAGTCTTTTGTGGACTCTAGACTTCTGTCCTGCCCTGCTTCCTCCTTCGGCCCTCAGAGTCCCCCACTCTCCTGATGTCCCCAGGGTGATGTGTTTACAGGAGCCCTGGACTGCCCTCCAGCAGGGCTTACCAACTGAGAGGGTCTGGGCCCACTGCATCCATGCTCTGGTCCACTCCACGCCCTGTGCATCACTCATGCAGGGCACCGAGTCCACCACACTAACCATGCCTTGGCTGAGGCCACACCTGTGCCTCAAGCCTCCCCCATTCACCCAACCCCATTCTGCTCATGCCGCGCCTCTACCTAATTCATGTGGTGTTCCCCAGCTGCCATGCCCTAGTAGGTTCTTGCAAACAAACCTCACAAGTCAGCTCAAACCTAAGTTCTTCAAGAGGAGAAACCCCAGCAGCTTGCTGTGTATACAGCAGGTGATAAGCAAAGACCAGGTGACAAAGTGGCCTCACCACTCCCCTAAGGTACTGGAGTATAATGCTCAGACACACAGACTGGGTTTGAACCAAAACTCTTCCACTGCCTGTCTGGGTGACTTTGGGCCACTGACTTGAGTGTCTAAGACCCAGTTTCCTTATCTGTAACAAGGGAAGTAACGACAATAGTATTGGTGGCACATGGGATTCTTGTGAGGACTAACCCAAATAATATAGCAAAATCCCTGTGTCAGGCACATAGTGAGAGCACACTGAATGTAAGCTAACAATTACTAATAATTACTATCCTATTGTTTCAGCCATGAAGCGTGCCATGTACAATCAGCAGACCCCCTTCAGGCAAGTATGGGATGCTCAGGCCCCATCCTCCTAGCCGGCCTTCAGGCCGCTGCTCCCCCCACTTCCGTTTTGCAGGTGAGTGGCTTGAACATCAGAGCTTTCCTCCCGAGTCCTGGCATCATGGTCAATATCGCATCAGTGTCTATGGGAAATGCTCTGCCCGAGCCCCAGACACCAGGGGCCACTGGGAAAGACAAAAAGTTTTCAGGTTTTCAATTGCAGGACAAAGAGCACTGAGAGCCCCTTTTTGAGAATCATTTATTATATCTCAGTGACTTTTCTGATGAATGGAATAATATTACAAGTTCAACCGAAGACAGAAAACCAAAAAAAAAACAGGGAGTAGCAGTTATTACAGGAACTGGAGAAGAAAATTAAGTTCTCCTGAGATCTGCTCAATGAAAACATTTCCCAGGAATCAGTTAAAGTGGAAAATGAGCTGAAGTGTTGAGACCTCCCTGCATTACAATAACCAAGTTCTAGAGCAATCTAGAAAAAACAAGTGTGGCCTACTGAGCTTTTCCCCTAGTTTCCCCTTGAAGAAGCCATGAGATAATAAAGTGTTTATTACTCACAGTCCTGTGATGATCTATGGCGGAAGGTAAATCGAAGGTGACTGCGGTTAGCATCCTCAATGGGAATGGCCACCTTAAGAATTGAAAAGGGGATTTAAGCACCTTTACCAACATCTTCTAGCATTAACAGCTTTATTCAACTGGACACACCAGGCACAAGTAGAAGAGTTTCTGCACCACAATGGTGAAAGTACTGTATATTTAAACCCCTATATAATTTTCTAAAGGCAAAATGCATTTTGAAAATTTAAACAAAATAATATTATAAAGGATGCCAAGATGATTCTGAGAGACAGCTGGATTTTTTCTAAATGTTCTGATCCTTACTGTTATGATTCTATTTTTCAAAGTTGCCTTTTTGTTTTTAGCCCCATCAAGGAGGTGTCTATATTCCCTCTGCAGTTGCAGTGACCTGCCCGCAACTGCAGCAAGAAACCTTTCTTGTTGTCACATTACAGTGAAAGAAAAAAAGACCTAATACACGTTGCCCGTAAGCCAAGACTGTACCTATTTCTCACATCTAACGTCTGTATTCCAAAGCCAACCCCTGGCCGGGTTTTCGAATATTCAAGCTCCTGGTAGCAGGCTGGTGTCTACCATGGGGGCTACTGTGAATACCCGAGTGCGGTGCATTATGAAAATGCTCCGTGTCCACACCACAGGAGCAGAATCTGTCTCCACAGCAATCACCTCCATATACTGTCATCTCTGTTTTTCCCCTTTTGTGTAAAGACAGCACGCCACACATAAAACAGACCTGAGAAGAGAAAGACAACAGCTATCTTTAAAAGACTCTGTCATCTGTCTCCATGAAAGTCCTATTTTATGTCCAAAAGGAGATGAGAGTAAATGTATTCCAAGAAATGCCAGTGTGGTTCCTTAGCAACCTTGAATGACTTTGTGGGGAGAGCCACTCTGCCAGCCTAGAAAGACCCTCGGGGAGCAGCCTGGGGCTGGGTGGGAGGTGGGGATTTCCTTGGGACACAAATGAGCATCTCACAATCAACCCCCTGTGATAAGATCACCATGTAAATAATACCTTAACGGTCTCAAACCAGCGCGGCTGCTTTACTTGATAGTAAATCACAGATTTGTACTCCGAAATCGCTTCATCACCAGCACCCGGGAAAATCACATGCTTTAAAAGAAAGCATAAAGAGTTCACATAAGATCTCATAGAGCTTGACATGGCATACGTCTCCCACTATATATGCTCAGAAGGGGAGGGAGAGCAGTCCAGGAACACGGATAAACCCCATGGCAAATGAAATGTTTTCCCAGCAAGAGATGGACAGATCCGTCTGAAGGTAGTGGCCAGACGAAAGCCCTGTTCTCAGACATTTAAGGTCTGGATGGTTACAAGACATGAGGATCAATCTGTCCTCCACCCCTCCTACCCTCATCCCTAACAACTTTAACATTAGGATCCACAGGCAGTGGCCTGACTTGTTCAGTAGGTCTAGCATGAAGGGCTGCACACCAAAACGGAGGTAGCAAGCCATGAACACTGCCCACCTGTCTCCAACGGGAGACATGCTGGTAATGTTCAAGAGCTAAGGCAGCACCACCTGATCCCAGAGACAAGCAGGCAGTGACCCTCAACGAGAGAAAGGGTGCCACCCCCTCTCGGCACAGCTGAGCCTCAGGCACAAGCCCAGGGCACTGCCCTTGACCATGTGGGCCCAGAAGAACCCAGCCCTCTAGCCTCAGTCCAAAGAAGCACCTTGCAGGACACCTGTTCTGGTTTGGCCTCTGGTCATCAGAAGAGGTCACAGCCTTTGAGCACCTCCTGGACCACCAGGTCCTCCAGGGGTAGGCCCTGCAGGCCACGTGACCATGGAAGCAGAAGGTATTGGTTACCAGCTGGTAGAGCACAAGGTCAGAGACTGGGCTGTAGATGTTAGACGCCCAGCTTCAGGCCCCAGTTTCACCTATCCTAGCTCTCGGACCCTGCGCAACTGACTGATTTCTCAGGCCTCAGTTTCCTCATCTCTCAAAGGGTGATAATAATGGCATCTGTACTTCTAGTGTGCTTGCCAGACCTTGGGGCCTTGGGTTTATGCTGGCAAATGAGACTGCAATAGGATTGGGCAAAGAAGATGGTCAAGGCCACAGGGATCCCCTGAGACAGGCTAATACCAGGACCCCGTAGACACCAGGCCCTGGAAGGCAAGCTGGAAAACACGAAGCAAGAGAAGACACTCATCCTGACAGACAGGGGTACGGCCCCACCTAGGACTGGTCCTATTGTTCAGCATAGCCAGGGAAACTCCTGGAAAGTACAACTTATACACAATAAATACCTCCAGTCGCTTCCCATCTTCATCATAAACAGACACAGTGACCTCGACGTTCTTCGCTGTAGTTTTACTGCCTTTATCAAAATCTCCTTGAACCAATGTTACGTAGATATCATTTCGAACATCACCTGGGGGTAAAAGTCACACCTTTAAAACCAACCCCTTATTCATGACCTAGCCATGAATTTTGCAACGCTATCTAAGGTGATACCCATCCTAGCACAATACTATAAATCCTGTATGAGGATGACTAGGATATATTTTCTACAAAACAGTTTCAGCATTTAAAGGCATTACAAAAGCTATTTGCATAATCATCATTATAAGACTTTCTGGAAAAAGGGAAAATGTCTAAGCCTCTAATTATCTGGTTATTTCTTCATCTGGGCAGAGGACCCTCTATGCTGCTGTGAGCAGCCGATGCCCAGAGCGGCTCTAATGCTGTCGATGGGTTTGCAAGGAGCCATGCCCTCTCCAGGGCCATGGCCATCACAACCCACATCATCATCCCTTGTTAGATGGCCGGCTGTGGTCGTCCAAGTCCTCAATTGCCAAGGAATGTCACAACACAGCTGGCACACACAGGATAATAACTGGCAATGCTGGCCTCCTGTGCATCTTCTAAAAAGCATGATTCCAGATGTCGAACTAAAAGCTGGTTAAGAATTAGAACCAGAAGCGAAGGATCAGGAACAAGGGACAGGTCTAGAGAGAGACTTTCTGCATGGCTCTTCTCCTCTGGCAGGCAGCTGTCAGGATTCCAAACAGGGACCACAGACAGAAGAAGCAGCAAACAGACCGGCACATTTCCAAGTGAGACGGGCCTTTAATTGTAGGGGGAAGAAAAATAAAAGAAATGTGCTCATGACTCTTCTTCCTACTAAGAATACAGGAAACTCCTGATAATGGTCCGACTGGGAAAACTTTGCAAGCTTCGTTGGCAACATGATTTAGAGGAAGCGTCACCACCCCAGGGCTTGCTCCTCTGCGTCTGTCTGGCCACCTCCCACGCCTGACACCATCTCCCACAGGAGAGAGGAGCAAGGACGTCAAGAGTGGAAAACAACCCACTCTAGCTAAATGACAAGGACTCCTTGAGGGAAAAACAAACCCTCCCTTTGCTTTCCTGGGTTCTGTGTGTTTGTTCTCTACTGCTCCATCTTGGCTTTTAGTATATCCAACTATTAAATTAAGCTTTCATTTAAAAGTCATTATTATAACCAACCCAGTGGGTTACTCTGCAGCCCCAGCAGCTGCTAGGAAAGGAAGCCTGGTCACAGCCGCTGACACTGACCACGAGGGACATTGGAATGATGGAGCGTCGCCAGGGCAGAAGGCAAGGCTGCCCATCCCACACCTGACAGCAACAACCTGTGTGACCTCGGACAAGTCACTTAACCTCCAGCCTACACTGACCTCTCACCTGAAAACTCTGCCAAGGCACAAAAACCATAATCAAGAAGGACTGAAAGAGCTTCCTAAGGGTATCACCAGCTGGAGAACTGACATGTGCCAGGTAGTGACGTGACACCCCCACAGCCTTGCGCCCATGTTCACCTGGAGTTCAGTACTCCAGGGCCATCCAGAAGCAAGACTTCACTGGGAGTAGGTAAACCCCATAGGTGAGCATTCTCAAAGGGACCTCAGCAACTGCTTCCCCAGCTATGGGGTTCCCATTCTGGGGAGGAAGGAACTGGAAATAGATACAGATGGGCTCTAGCCACCTTCCCGGCTTGAAGGAAAACTCTGCTTCCTCTGCCTGGACCTTTCAGGAGGAGTCCAGGATTCCAGTGGATCCAGAGAAGGTGGAGGATCCAGAAGCAAGGACAACATGACAGGCTCCCCACTGTCTCCTTAAGACAACTGACAAGACAGGTCTGCACAGGTTCTGCTGGGCAAAAGGCAGGGAGTCTCACTGAAAACCACCCGTGCTGTCTCTCCAGTGCCTACAGCCCAGTCAGTCACTACTCAGCCAGCAGAGAACGTGGTGACCCCTCAAGCTAGAATCCCTCCCTAGGGGACCCCTGACCTGGGACTTAGCACATGGAACCTACCAGAACAATGGTCAGCTGTATGTTTCCCCATGAATCAATCATGAGATAAACTAAGAGGTTAGACTTACTTTTTAAGTCTATCAATTATAAGAGAAACACTATTGGCATGAAATGGAAGTTTCCTGGGTTTCCCTTTGAGCATGAGGACACCCTAAGGTCACTGAGATACGCACATGTTGTCAATGACTTCATCCCAATATATAAATGCACATCTTGAATCCGAATGCAAACAATATGTACAAAAATTATCCATTTCCATTAAGAAGACTAAATTAATTTGCTGCATATAGACTTGACACATACAAGTAACAGCTATTCCATAGCTTCATAATGTGTTAAATATCACACTTTCTCCTGTACAAGTGAGCCTAACTATTATTAAGTTTAACTAATTTTAGATGTCTTTCACATGGATTAATAAGACAGAGTATTCAATAACCCACAACAGCCCTAAAAGACAAAGGGAGTAGAAAGAACATGACTCAAGGTTGAACTAAAATAAGCAAAACTTTAACTCTTAGAGCATGTACATTGAGTAGCCACCGCTCTCTGCAAGTATACAGCACAGGCCTATAAAAAGAGGCTGCACGGAGTTGTCAGACTTGGGGTGGATTGTCCCCATTTCCACTACTCATTAGCTGTGTGACTTTAGGCTGTTGTTTAATCTTGATGGGAATTAGTTCAACACCAATTTGCAGGCTTCCAAGATCCTTATGTGGATAAAGTTAGATTATTAATGTGAGCATTACCTGCAAACCAAAAAGTATCACAGAGATACAAAAGATAAATATTAACATGCTCCCCAAGATCCCCTGAGGATCAAATCAGATTATTAATATAAATGTTATTTGGAAACCGAAAAGTATTCTGTAAATACAAAAGATTAATGTTAGCATGGAATGCCATTATCACTTCAGTCAGCTTAAACCCATGTTGGGCTGGAGCAATACTAGTACGACAACTGATACTAACTGAGCAGGTACAGGTGTGGCATTAACAAACATCGTCTAACTCTTCCACTCATCCTGAGATGGTTTGCATGTTGGGCAGCTGACTTTCTAACCACCGTTCCTTCCTCTGATCGGATGTCTACCCAGACATCTGTTGGGTGTCCATGCCTCCCTCATATAACCCTTGCAGTTGGGGGGAGCTGACCCCATCCTGGGATCCAGGTGGCCAATGTGCATATTCCAGCACTCAGGCTGCAGCCCCTGACTCCCAGGGTGACCCATACCCAGCTGGGGCTTACACATCACCTGCCCTAGCTCAGCCCTGTCCTTGCCAGAGCTCGTGCATGTTACTGCCCACATACCCGGTCACTCTGTGGCTGGCTACATCCACGCCATGCTCAGAAGCCCTGAATGATCCACCTCTTACCAGGCATGATGATCTCTGGAAATCCTGTTTTGCGAGCCACTGCTGTGGTCCTGTCCACTAAATGAGGAAACTCTTTTCGAATCTGATGAATATCTCCAGGAAGTAATTTCAATGTTACCCACAAACCTAGAAACACAATGGATGTTCTCAGTCATGTTTTATTTTACACATTTTTAGAAAAAGTTTTCACGAAACCAATTTCAATAAATGAGCAATTTTTAATTCACAGTTTAGCATCTTGAGAGCAAATGTGGGTGTATGAGAAGGAGAAGGGCTGGGCAGAAGGGCTGGGCACAGGAGAACTGGCCACTTCTGATCAGCAGGGATATGGATCCTGCCCTGGAGTGACTCATGGACAGGGACTAATGCACAGGAACAGCCACGTGCTCCTGCTAGTCAGTCTGCCAAGGACCACTGACGCTTTCGAGTTGACATACATTTAAGATAAATCAGAAGGTAGCATTTTTCTGGGAGTGGACTGAGAAAGCTGTCATTTTCCAGTCTGCTGGGAAGAACGACAGCCGGGAGGACTCAGGAGGTGAATGCACAGCTGCAGGAACCCACGAAAGCCTCGACATGCAGAGCAGCACCACGCTCCCCAGATGAGCAGCACCGTGCAAGGCCACAGGGCCACGGGGACAACAGCGGGCCAGCCCCCCACAGCCAGGCCACCACAGCCCAAGCAGGCCTCTCCCTCCATTTCACAAAGCACAGCAAAGGAGGAAAGGATGTTCCAGATGTCACTCAGCTCTTTTCTCCCAGGGGGAAAAAGAAGACTTTTGAAACCTTGGAACCAAGACCCCAAGGGTGCCCTGGGGAGAGCATGGCGTGTGTGGGTGTGTGCCCTGCTTGCCCCAGCCACACCAAAGGAGAACCGGAGGGCCGGCCTCCGTGCAAAAGCTCTGGAGCAGCGGTCAACCAGTCAACCGGGTGACAATGACAGGGAATAAATCAGACACTCTCAACTAGTCAAAAGCAGGGGGTGAAGCAGTCACTCGGCTCCATCAGCTGCTTTCAAGGATAGTGACCTCCTCCCAGGTGGGAAGGGGCTGCCACCGTGGGCTGGCACATCGTTCCTGAGGCCTTGGGGACTGGCCTACTTGCTCCCCCACCACTCAGCTCTGTGGACCCCATCTGTCCATTAGAATGTCAAAGTGTCTGTCCTCACACTAGCATCCACACACTAGTGTGTGTTCACGTGTCTCTGTACGTCTATGCATGTGTCTGTGTGTATCTGTTTGGGTCTGTGTCTGTGTTTGTCTACATTTGTCTGCATGTGTGTGTGTCTGTGGGGGTGCGTACATATCTGTGTGTCTGTGTGTATCGGTGGGGGTGTGTGCATCTGTGTGTGTATCTGTGTCTCTGTGTCTACGGGGAGTGTGCGTGTGTCTGCATGTCTGTGTGTGTGTGTGTGTGTGTGTGTGCACGTGTACATGTGTCTGTGTGTCTGTCTGTGTAGTTGTTCCCTCTCTTGATGCTTCCAAATAGCAGAGGCCAATCACACATCACTGGTGAACCCAACACTTTGCACTCAACAGGAGAAAAATGCGAAAACCACAGACCTTGTCCCCAAGTGGCTTGCCTTGCACGCAGCCCTTGGATGATGTCTGATGTATCCACACAAGGAACACCAATTAGGTCACTCCTGCCAGGGGCGGCTCTACTTGATTTAACCCTACACTGCACGACCTGTCCTCCAGTTACCTAATCCCATAGCAGCTGTCCTGGAAACATCTTTCTCCTTTGCAGAGACTTACATTACTTGTGACTGAGAAAGTCAAGTCACCGATGATGTTTGTTCTTTGCCAGCTGGTGACAGCCCCTTTCCTCTCGCCACCTAGGGAGACCTTTATTTATGGAAAAGTATCTAGTAAGCACCTACTCTGTGCCAGGCACACACTGGGCACTGCCCACATAGGACTTAGCTTCCACTGTAAGGGTCAGATACTCAGAGAAATACGCAACTGCAGAGAGCTCTCCCAGGAAAAGTCCCAAGCTCGCTGAGAGGGCATCCCCAAGACTGCACTTTAGGGGATCCTGGAGGCTCCTCTGAGGAAGGGATTTCAAGACTGACTGAGATCTGCAGGAAGTGAGGGGATTCCAGGCATGTGCCCACCCCAGGGCGGCTGAAGCCCCAAGACACAGTGGGGAGGGGGTGATAGGTAGCTTGGGAGGCTGCAAGGACCCTTCCTCATCCTAAAGTCAAGAAGACACAGGAGTACACGGGGACTTATCATAGTAGCTGGTGCCTACTGGAACACCAGGATGCAGTTTCTCAAATTTTAGGGGTGTGAGTCCTGAAGCTGCCCAGGAGAACGAACATCTCAGAATAAACCTAACAGGAGGACACTCTTGGAAGAACTGCAGGATGTGGTGAGGAAATTACTCATAAAGGTCAAAGACATAAGGATGGAGCATTAAATAACGCTATTAGATATCTGCCTTTCCAATACCTTTTCTTTCTCACAAATACCAGTTTGCTCAAATATCTTAGTTCATAAACTGGTATATTAGTGACATAATTAGATTTGTTACAACACGATTTAAACATGGAGATTAAATTTTCCTGATTACATTGAGTTTAAAATGCTTTCCTCACAGGAAAAAATGAGGCCAATTTTCACCAAGGAAAAAGTCCGTTTTGAGTTGACATTTGCTTAACCAGAACAACTAAAAACAAAAAGAACTAGAACACAACATTATATCTGAAACAATGGAAGTAGATGTCTGCAGGGATCTGAGGGCTGACTGTCCACACAGAACAGCACCTCTGGGTTCAGCGATCAGAGTAATTTGGATTAAATATAAAAGATTTTGTTGATTGTGACCAGCAAAAATGCTGATGTAAACCTAAAATAGGCCAAAGCCTAGAATGAGCTCAGAAGAGACAGGCAGGGATTTGGGACAGCGGAGTGTGGGAAAGCCCACAGGTTCTTTGTGAAGATTAATACCTCCTGCCTGCCCCTCCCACTCCAGGTACCGTTTCACTGTGGCTTGATGGACAAGCAAGCCTCGGGGTGGGCCTGGGTCACCACTAATCAAAGCACAGGAGCTCCACTGGGCGAAGCCCTGCAAACCCAGCAGCTACATCTATACAGCACTCACTGGGCCACATCTTGCAGCTCTCTCTGGAATAACCTGAATTCTGCTTAAGAGTGAGCCCTGGAGAAATATTCAGGTTCAAGGTAAAACTGAGCTTGTAATGTTGCCACAGTGCAATTTGATTCAAAAAGGCACCTGTGATCCCCTTCAAAAAACTGTCATGGTTCCTGTCTCCCAGTTCTCACAATGACCTGAAAATGTTCTCCCTTCCCTGGCAGTTCAAGGAATTTGGCATTAGGTGTTTCTCCAGCTCCATAGATTTTGGCCAACACCAGTGAAACTGGCAGAGGCAGGCTTTGGGTCCTCCTTCCAAGTAATTTCCTGGTGGCCTGACACCAATCCCCACTATTCCTGATGACTCTGTCATGAAAGTTTATCAAAACCCTGATGACTGCAAGAGAAACTGGAGACCCAAGGGGAGCCCCGGCTCGGGGTTGAATGATCAGCTGAGAGGGACTCCGATGTAAACAGCCTGAACTGGACCTCCCTGTGGTTTTCAATTAAAGTGCAAATTAGGAGGACTGTTAATTTATGAGAAGCTGGGTCCTGGGTCAGCTTAAAATTGCTCTATCTGCAGAGGCCACATTTCATGAACAGTCCGGGTTTGGGTTTGTTCTGCTATTGTTTGCCAGAGAGGGGGGTAGTTCACACAAGAAGAAAGCTCCTGAAGTTCCCTGCAAGAGCTCTAGGAAGACTCATTCTTCCAGAACATTCTTAAGATTCAATTCATACTCTCCTTTGGAATAATGATAAGTGACTCAAGATCACTGCTTTTTAAAAGTCTAGTGACATACGGTAACTGGACAATGGAACAGACCTATCCACCTAAGCCCTACTGAGTTTATGGGAAGTCTCTATCAGATCAAGGATGGAGACGTGGATCCCTGACGTTCAGAAAGTGACCTCCCCTCAGGCGGGAGGCGGGGCCGTAGTAACCGTGTTCTGGCAGCCCTCCTGGGCAGCCGAGTGCCAACTGTCACTAGTCCGTGTTGATTGATTTATGGCTCCCGCCAACAGAACTGTCGGCTGCTCGGACACATGTCAGTGTGGGATTAAAAACGATGAGTGTGAGAACCAAAGGGGAACTGATCTGCACAAATGAAGCCATTCTCAAGGTGGGGGACTGGAGGAAGGTCCCCAAAAATAACATGGCAGCAATGGGTGCGTAACACGGGCGAGGACAAACAGAGAGAAGCACACACGTGGAGGGGTCACGTCCAATGTCCCCATGCGTCTCTAAACACATAACCATATCCCACTCAGCCTCCCACTCTCATCCAGGAGGCTGGTTCTCAACAACACTTACAAAAGAGACCAGCCACAAAACCCACATAAGCTATACGTTGGGTACAACCATTACACGGACTCTCCAAACTGTCAGGGTCGTCATCGTCACCATCATTATCAAAATCATAGTAAACGCCAAACAGACAGCACTGTCCCACATTCACGGAAATAAACATGGATAGAAACAAAGAAGTAAAATACGTACCCTGCCCCTTGTGGTTGACTTCTTTGGCAGCGATGACTTTGTTTATAACAGTCTGAAGGAAGTCATTCTCCCCTGCCACCCTGGGTGAAAAACGGGATGACATGTTGAGCGGCTTGTGTCGAAAGGCGTCATCCAATGCGAGCCTGGAGGGCACGGGACGACCGAGACCACAGGAGACAGAGGGGCACAGAGACCCGTGGGTCACGTAACAAGGGAACACGAGAGAGCATCATCCCAGAGTGTGAGAGAGAGGCATCATGAGTCAACGCACAACAAAGGACAGGATAGGTGACAAGAGAAACAGGGAAAAGCATTGATCAGGAAAATGCTGAACCTCGAGAGAGAAGTAAAGCAAACGGGGGCGACCCTCTCCCCAAGAAATAAACATGCTCTGGGCTTCCACCCACTTCCACCAGACAATTATAAAAGGGGGACTCATCTGAAAGTAACGTGCTTGAAAGGCATTTAATCCCAAAGAATGTTTATGGCCATTTCTTTGATTTTGATAATTCTGAACACAGCATAGGTCAAGGGGCAGGTGGTATGAAAGGAAAAGCAAAATCAAGATTAAAAAAAAAAAAAAGATCCCTCAACCTCAACATAACTGCTCGAGGCAGCTTCCTTCACTACCCCTTGCGACCGTGTACGCGATAGAGCCTCGAGTGGTTAGCGTGAGAAGAATGGCGTCATCTTCAGAGAACACAACTAACCAACGACTGCCATGTCTGAAAAGTGACACTAGGCCACGATTATGAATGCAAACCATCAATGTTTTCAGGGCCCATGAGTCAGGAG